GTTACAATCATTTGCATAGTGACCATATTTTTGACATTTATAGCACTGAATGTTGGAATAGGTTGATCGACTGCCTCTTTCTTGACTGCGTCCTCTTCTACGCCAATTTGCTTGGCTCGACTATTTCTTCTCCTTATAATTTTCTTCATTTCTGCTGTCTTGACCATCTCGATCATTTCCGCGACTTCCTCGACCTCTACCTTGAATATTTTGAGAGTAGAGTACCTTTTCATCTTTTATTGATGCTTTGGTTTGAAGTGTTTGATCGAATGTCTCCTTCTTCTTCTTCTTACGTTGCTCGTGTGCCTCGAGAGAACCGGCGAGCTCATCGACTGTGAACGTCGCTAGGTCCTTTGACTCTTCTATCACACATACAACATTCTCAAAGTTGTTGGTTAATGACCTCAAGATTTTCTCCACAACCCGTGTCTCGGGTAACATTTCTCCATTTCGATTTAGTTGGTTTACCACAGTCTGTACGCACGTAATGTAGTCAAATACATTTTCTGACTCCTTCATCTTCATGCTCTTCAACTCGCCACAAAGATTTTGGACACACACTTGCTTGACTTGGTCGGTTTCTTTGGACACTTTTTCTAAAGTGTCCCACGCTTCTTTTGAAGTAGTTGCCCTGGCAATCTTCTCAAAGCCTGACTCGTCAACGGCTCGAAACAACGTGTATAATGCCGCCTTATCCTTTGATCGCAATTCTTTTAACACCTTGTTTTGTGCCGCCATATAACCCGTGGTATCCGTTGGTTCTTCGAAACCTTCTTCGACCACCTCCCATGCGTCTTGAGAACCGAGAAGAGCTTTCATTTGGATGCTCCAATTCTCGTAGTTCGTCTTCGTTAATCGCGGTAGCGGCATTTGACCCATCATATTCGCCATCGGCTCTTATACCAATTTGTTAAAATAAAACTCACTAATTTGTTAAGTAATCTCACACACACTAACGATATAACACTTCGATATCGCTTTGTGAAAATACTACTCACGTATTTGTGAAGGAGATGTCGAGAGAGGAGAGACAATGAGACAAAGAACACTGATTTTATAAAAAAAAAAAACCTTTTCTATTGCTCTGTATTTCTTTGCTCTCTGTTTTTTGCTCTAACTTTACTGGAAAAGAATTAGATATTTATAACTTTTCTAACACTAGTAATAAGGTGAGAGAAACGCTCATAAACCCTGTCATCATTACCTAAGAAAGCTCTGGGCCTTTTCTTTCCTCGGGCATTTTTCAAATTAACTTTCCTAACAAATTAACTGCATTTGGCATTTTAAGTTTATTTCAACAAATGTTGCTCGCTCCCTAATCAACATTATCTTCTTCACAAGGAAGTTTAATTCCACAACATGCAATTTCTTCCACTTCTCTCTTCCCTAAAGGAATTCATCATCTTGTAAGGTACTATTTTATTTTTCAACCTTCTTTTTAGGCTTGCTTCTAAGAATCTTTGTTTGAGATGACAAGTTTGATAAACACACCGACTTATAGGTTGCTCTTTCTTGATTGAAGTAGCATCTAGTTTCTTCTTGGCTCTGTTCTTCGGTTTCGTTTTCTCCCGATCCACTGATTTCTTCTTCTATTTCTTACTGCTAACGCCAATTTTTACTTTTGGAAGATGTTGATGGTCTTCCAATAGTATCTTATACAAGTGGTTATGCGACCGTTTTACCTATATCTTCAGGGCTCAATTTCTGTTGAATATCTTGAGAAACGAGCCGACTAACTCCACAATGCTACATTTTTCTATTATTTGACCAAGGCTAATAATATTACTCTTTAAACTCCAAATGTAATATATCTTTGTCAATAGACATTGATCATCGTTCTTACACTAGAAAAAAATGGATCCTTTGCCTTGGATCAATACAATTGATTCATCGTAAAGTTTCACGTTTCTAATGAACTTCTCATCAAGCTCCTTGAACTTTGCTCGATCTCCGATCATGTGGTTACTCACTCTGTTGTCTAGGTACCATATTTGGTCTCTATTTGGTCTTCTCCATCCACGAGGAGGTTCACCATAACCTTCTCTTTATTGAGCATCAATAAGTTGGACATTTTCTCGGCCAACATCAATGCAAGCTCTTCATCATCTGTGAATGTGAGATTTACCTCCTCATAGCACTCATTGTTGCAACACTCTACCGCCTAATGTCCATATTTTTCACAAGCATAACACTTAGATCATACTCTTATTATTTCATGGTTAGAATTATCATGGATTTGTGAGGTATTTTCCTGACCTCCTCTTCCACCACATTCACAACAACGCCCATGACTTTTACTTTTCTTGTTGTGGCCGCCATGTGCCTTCGTACCTAAAAAGAAAGAATCAGCCACATCTTTTCTTTCGTCCGTACGAGCCACTCCTTTTGTATGAGTAAGATACTCTTATTATTTCATGGTTAGAATTATCATGGATTTGTGAGCCACTCCTTTTGAAGTCTCTTCTCATGAACCTTTCGACGACCAACGACCTCTTCAACCGACATATTCTTGAGGTCACCAAACTTCTCATGGAGCTGACAATCTGCATGAATCCCGAGGGGACAACTCAAAGGAACTTCTTGACGATGGAAATCTCCTCCACATTGTCGCCTAACAAACGGATGCTATTGACGATTTTCGTTAACTTCATGACAAATTCATCTATTGAATCACTATCCTTCATGCGGATAACTTTGAACTCACTCTTCAAGATCAACACCTTTGCTTCTTTGACACGTTCTACACCACAAGCATTGTTTGCAGCGTCTCTCACGCTACCTTTGCCAAGTTCTTCTCTACCAACATGAGAAGAACGTCCTCTGGGACTGCTTGGTAGATGGCGACAAGAGTCATCATGTTCTTATGCTCCTCAACGTCATTACCATGCACAAGACGTGCTCGATGGTGTCCCACATGTCTTGTGCATGTAAGTTAACACGCATCTCTATCGATCATAATGCATAGTTACTCTTTGTGAGTAACAGATACTAGAGCGTTACACTCCTTTTCTTTTTGCTCTTTATCATCGTCATACTCCTACGACAACTTTGTATGGTGGTGACATTTGTTTCGGCAACTAGGTCTTATTCAAAATGTTGGATGTGACTCATAATCGAAATATAACAAAATAAATAAATGAAGCAAAAGAACAACTTGAAGGAAGAGTTTCTTGGAACAAAAAACCTTGATTATTGTTCTTTTCAATTCTTTTTGTTGTTATGAATAGATCCATTGGTATTTGTTGTTATGAATAGATCCATTGGTACGAGGACTTTTGGAGAAACCAGAAACAAAGCCATGAGAGCTGATACTCAAAGTGGACAATATCATACGATTGTGGATGTTCATAATTCCTAACCGAATTTGGATATTCAAGTTTCCTTCACACCCACAGTTTTTACTTTCAACTCGAGACCGGTTTTCTTCTTCAAGCCCCTTTTTTCCAAATCTGTTTCTCCTCCGGGCAACGTGTTTTTTGGAAGTTCTTCAAGCCCCTTTTTTCAAATCAACCTTCAGCTTGGCTTAACACTCGAGCTCACCCATCCTACAAAAAATTCAGCTGAAATTGTGCTTCATATACCTTGTTACACGCGTCCTACTATATTGTTCACGTATTTTTTTTTAAATCAATTAATTTATATATTTATTCATCCGATTTTCCTTTTACTTCATTTCTAAAAATCTTGGTATTAAATATTGTGATATTCCAAATATGGAAATGATTAGTTTTTTCAAGTTCTAGGCTCCAAATACCAACCATAAATCTAATTAGGTTGTGTATTGTAGTACCTAGCTATCAATTTAAATATGTGAATATATATATATATATATATATATATATATATATATATATATTAGGTCATCTCCCTTCCATGGACGAGGTTATTACAAACAAGAAAATCACGGAATTTGGCCGATTCTGCTTTGATTTGTTTCCAAATGTGTCGTCTGTGGTTATTATGACTTTGGCGCCTCGATATTTGAAGCAACAATAGGGCCTTGGTTTTATATTATTGGTGAAATTGAATCATGGCCTCACATGCGAAGAAAATTAAGGAGGGATTAGATCAAGTGCCTCAAGGACTGGTCTCTATCGAAGAATATCTAAGAATAACATCCCTGCAAGAATAGTGTAACAATCCAAACCTACTGTGAATGTTTGATTAATCCACCACACCTAAATGGTGTGAAAGTTATCTTATTTATAATCGAATAAATTACAAGGATATGGAAATAGTAATAAATGGAAATAACAATAAATGGAAAGATATCTATAGTAATAAGGCAAATATTAGATATTTGCCTTATAATAAAATATCAAATATAATATATACGGGAAAGTATAATTTATTACTAAATATCCTTAACACCTACTACTAGTAAATATTGTTCTCTTTAACCCAGAGTTAGATATCGAGCGATGTGCCAGTGAAGACATTAGCCTCCAAGGAGGGTGAATTGTAAGATTCCACATCAGTTGGAGAGGAAAACGAAACATTTATTATAAGTGTGGAAACATCTCCAAAGCAAACACGTTTTAAAACATTGAAAGGAAGTCCATAAAGAAGAAGTTAAATAGGACCATATCTGCTAGCGATTAGCATGAATTGTTACAAATAGACGTTTACAAAATGACAAGATCTAACATATTCAAAGACAATATAGAACATTTTTAAATTTTAAAATTTTAGAGATGAAATCAATATAATTAAAAAGTTGACCAAAAATTACGAATTTGAATCTCTCACTCTTCGATAATATAATACTCTCATTAATGAACAACATAAATTTTTTTAAAAGGTATACTATAAGAAGACTAGTAAATTTTTAAATTTGCATCTAATAGGTATTAAGAGACAAACCGTGTGGTTGAACAAAGTGAATACCGTGTACACGAGAGGTTGGGTTATATTTCCTTAGTGAAGAAGGAAGAATGAGAAGGTTATTGGGAGTGGGGGTTGCTATATATACAAGAGGTGCCTCCTCCTATTTTGCACACAACTTGAAGAGCAAGATAATAGCTAAAAATGATGAACAAATCCTTCCTCTCCATGCTCCTATTGGTCCTCCTCATCTTCTCTTCTTCAGGTAATCAAAGTCTAACCCTACCATCTTTGCCATTTCTTCTTTCTTCCTTTCTTCCTAATATGTGTTATTTGCAGAAGAGATGATGGGTCGTGGTGCTGAGGCTCGAATATGCAAGTCCAGGAACCACCACTACCATGGCCTCTGCTTTAGCCACAAGTGCGCTACTCGTTGCCGAAGGGAAGGCTACACTGGCGGTCATTGTCACCACTTCCCCCGCCATTGCTATTGCACTCACAGTTGTTAATTGCAATATTGTTTTTAATATGTGAGCTTTGTACTCTTTGTTATGCTTTCTAATATCATCTTTACCTTCATTTCATGAATAAACTTTGTTGTTTTGCTCCCAACTTAACCGAAATAATATGCATTTTAAATACACGATCCCACTTGATAAGAACAACAAGAGTGTAAATAAACCATTCTTTAATGTGAATTAGCTGAGAATGAGTTAGAGTTATTTACAAGGATCTATCAAAGTGTTACATTCGAGCTCCCATGAGAAATAAGTTTTTCGAATTTTTTTTAAAGTACAAATTTTTTCGATTTTATCGAGGGACTTAGAGGTCAAATTTCAATACGATATGGAAGTGAAAAATATATAGAAAAATCTTTGAAACTAAAATAAAAAAAAGTGAAAAATTGAGCAAATCAGTCCAAGTCAACCCTCGCTAGTAAATTGGTCAGTTCGACCTCCTTGATTAATTAGGGATGTGAATAAACCCTACCAAGTGGAAAGAAGAAAAGAGAAATAAAAGATAGAGAAAAGAAAAAAAACAGAGAATTTTTAGAGAGAAAACTAAGATCCACTTTGAATGGCTTGAAGACGAAATTTAGCGAGAGCTAGTTCGTAAGAATCTCTTATTGAGAATATCTATTATGAGTTTTTGAACTATTCAATTCCACCGAGAATCGAAAAAGAAAGGAATGTACGAATTTTAGGTTATGTGTTTTTTTTTTTAAAATTAACTTCTTATTTTTTTAGTATGTTATGCACTATTGTGAATTAAAACTATGTAAAAGATGATAAAACGATTCATAATTATCAAATAATAATAAAAATTAAAGTATTTAAAAGCACAAGACTTGAGAGTTGAAATAGATAACACTTTTTATAGATATCATCAACCATACCATTTAGAACATTTTTTTTCTAAATTTTAAAGATTAAATGCGTACATTTTGAAAGACAACAATGGTAAGTTTGACCCAAATTTTCTAAATTTGTTAAATTTTATTTGAAAATAAAGTTGTTTTTTTCATAAATGTTTTCTAAGACTGTTTTCATCAATTTGAACTCTAAGAGAACATTTCACACTATTTTTTCTCAAATTCTCAAATTCTATGGGTGATAATGTTAAATAAAATTTGAAAATGTCAATATTTTTCATCACTTTATGAATTACATTGCTGTGAGATATGAACCAAAATTGGAATTCATTTTTATCTGAAGAACTAAAGTTTTTAAACAAAAACTTCGATGACCAAATTAAAATAAGGTAAAATTTAAGGACAACAACTATTTATTGAATTAACATCTCGGTTTGTAGGTAAAAGAAACTATAAAAATGTCCATATTGATGGATAAATTTAGTTTATTGAAGGTGTTTAAACGTGACAAAAAAAAAAAAAAAAAAAAACCACACATTGATATGGTACGCATCATACTATCATTAATGGTTAAATTAGTCAAGTTGTTTTTTTGGTGAAAAGAAAGTTTAGAGAATGAAATTTAACCTAACTTCAATTAGTGAAAAGAAAATATTTACAGGAGAGTTGACCTAGAATTTTCCACTTCCCGATTTCAAATGAAGAAAGGAAAAAGTTATAACTGAGGGACACTGACATATATTAAAATACCATCACTAATTCAGTAGGCTCAAACTCAATAATTGTATGAGCACATTGTATGTTTATATTTAGAAAAATGATTTAGGTATTGAGAAGAAAGATACCTATATATTTTAGGAAAAATATATAGATGAAAGATTTAAATAATTTAGGAATAGATTGTCTCGCCTCTACTATAAATATCCATCCACCATACCCAAGTTTTCATCCTAAAAAAATAAAAAACACAAAGTGGTGTAGTAGTTTTTACAGAGTCTCTTGTAATCTTTACTCGATTGGTGTTAATAAAGAGTGTGAGTGTTTCCCTCAAAGAGTTGTGTTCAACAATCTGGTACCAGAGCGAGGTTAGTGTAGGTTATATGATCTCTTTGAATTCTTGGTATGCTCTGTTGTTGCAACTCTATATGAACTTCCACACCAGAAACGGTTTCTTGAGATTATTAGTGAATGAGTTTCTTTGTGTCGTGAGTAGTTTGTAACTCTACAAGTCTTGTGTCGAAAGAGATTGTTTTGAATTACTAAAGTATAGCCAACACGATGGGTGATTTCCAAATCTTTGGAGAAATCAAGAAACTCAACAACAACTACAACACGTGGGCAACATGCATGATGTTCTATTTACAAGGACAGGTCCTTTGGGAAGTCGTTGGAGGGAGTGAAACTACACCGCCAAAGGAGGATTCTAACGGCGCCTTGCTCGAAAAATAAAAGAAGGCAAAGCAATGTCTGCCTTGAAGACCACAATCGTAGAAGAGATGCTATAACACATTTTGGATGACAAGACACCAAAAGAAGTATGGGACAAGTTCGTGATGTTGTTCTCACAGAAGAACAATGGCTACACCTTCTGGCTAATGAACTGTTGTCAATTTCACAACGTGACATGATAATTGCTAAGTACTTCCACAGGGTCAAGTCGATCTGTCGAAAGATTACTGAACTAGACCGAAAGTCTGCCATTGGAGAAGCTCGAATGAAGAGGATCATTATCCACTAAGAATATTTGATTAATCTACCACGCCTAAATGGTGTGAAAGTTATCTTATTTATAATCAAATAAATTACAAAGATATGGAAATAGTAATAAATGGAAATAACAATAAATGGAAAGATACCTATAGTAATAAGGCAAATATTAGATATTTGCCTTATAATAAAATATTAAATATAATATATATGGTAAACTATAATTTATTACTAAATATCCTTAACACCCCACCGCAAGCTGAACGTCGAATTTGAATGAACGTGAAGCTTGAATCTGGAAAATTCAAAGAGAGGTTGAGAAACACTTTTCGTGGAGATGTTAACAACCTAGTTTGGAGGAGGCGTAAAGAAACACTCTCTTGGCCATCGAAAATTGCAGAGGGATCGCCGCTCAGCGGCGATGCTGCCTTGACTTTGGCAAGAATATGTCTAACCCATGAAGAGGGATTGTCGCTTAGCAACGATGCTGCCTTGGCTATGGTGAGAATATGTCTAACCCCAAGAAGTAGATGGGGAAAGCTAGAGCAAGGGAGAAAGACAATGTTGAAGCTGGAAGAGTCGCCACATTGGGCAAATGAGACAATTTTGGCGAGAAGGGCAGCCGGAAGAGTCACCACATTGGGCGAAGGAGCGGCGGCAAATGAGGCAATTTTGGCGAGAAGGGCGGCGGCAACTTGGTTGGCGAAGAGGCCAGTGCGGCGCCCAGATTCCAAAGGTAAATCTCTGCATAAGGTCGATGGGTTTATCGAGATTCTGTATATTTCCGAAGAGAACGCTAATGAAGATCTTAAGATTAGGGTTTCTGTGAAGGATGAAGGATGAAGGGAAAATTGGGAAGAAAATGAAGGAGGCTATGTTTGGAAAAGGTGAGGTTGTATGTACAGAGTATGGCGAAGGATGATTGGAGGTCAAAAGGGTGGAGCCGAAGAGTAATCAATCGGCTCTGCATGTGGCAGCCATGACGACTGTCCCTGCGGCGTAAAAGCCAGCAGTGGTGGTGGAGAAGAATAGTAGAAGATTTCAAAAGCCATTAAAAAAAAGGATCTGGGTTGCTAAACACAAATGACTCTGATACCATAAGAATGTTTGATTAATCCACCAGACCTAAATGATGTGAAAGTTATTTTATTTATAATGAAATAAATTAGAAAGATATGAAAATAGTAATAAATGGAAATAACAATAAATGGAAAGATACCTATAGTAATAAAACAAATATTAGATATTTGCCTTATAATAAAATATCAAATATAATATATATGATAAACTATAATTTATTACTAAATATCCTTAACATCCACGGATTACGACCAGAATATAGAAGCTTCGTTATTGCTATACAAGGATGGTCTACTTTGTTAGGTTATGGAGTTTGTTGCTTATTTATAGCTTAGTGAATTGTTATACATAGTAAAACTCTATATGGTAAATGACATATAAAGTAAATTGTCATAAATAGTAAATTGCGATGTATAGTAAAAATATTTATATGGTAGATAATAATATATAATAGAGGATTGTATCTAATAAAGCTATATATAAAACTGAACCATATATATACTCCTCAGTGGTTTAAAAATGTACTTTCTGCATTCTCTGTAATCTCTCTTACAGTACAAACCTGAAGTCGTCAATATAAACCTTTAGCCAATATTCCTTCTTATATATTTCTCGCTTCTATTCTTTGTGTTCATCTAAATGAGTGTGTGCATAGTTGTACGATCCTAACAACTGGTATCAGAGCTAGGCGAAATTCACCACGATCTGTGAAAATGAAAAGTTTAAAGATTGCAATTAAGAAGTTCAATGGATCTGATTTCAGTTTCTGGAAGATGTAGATTGAAGATCATCTATACCATAAAGATTCTTATGAACCCCCAATTCAAAGATTTCAATTGAAAAGTTCGATGGATCCGATTTTATTTTCTGAAAGATGAAGATTGAAGATTGAAGATTCTTTGTAACATAAAGATCTTCATGAACCTCATTGGGGGTGAAGTCGGATACCATGACCACAAAGTAGTGGAAGCTCAAGGATCGACAAACCTTAGGGTTGATCAGGTTAACACTATCCAGAAACATGATGTTCAACATCATCATGGAGAAGACAACGTAAAATCTGTTGAAGGTGTTGTCGAATATGTATGAAAACTCGTCGGCCATGAAAGTGAAGATTGTTCAATCTACAAATGTCTGAAGTTTGATCTGTTGCTGATCATATAAATGAATTTAATATGATTGTAACTTAATTGAGTTGGGTGGAAATTAATTTCGAGAATGAAATTAAAGCAATGATTTCGATGTCATCTTTAACCTAGTCGTGGGATACTATTGTTGCCGCAATCAGCAGTTCTCGAGAATCTAGCAAATTGAAGTTTTATGAAATTCGGGATGTAGTTCTTAGCGAAAGTATTAGCAAATAAAAAATTGGAGATTCACTAGACAATTCTCTCTATATTGATCGAATGAGAAGAAGAAAATTAAAGAGCCCAAATAAAC